TTTCATCAAGTTGGTTAATGAAATTGAGGAATTCATTTAGATTTTCCTTAACATGTGACCAAAGTGCAAAGTAGTCATCCAAATATCGTATAAACACTCTTGGTTGCAATGCTAACTTCTTGAATTCTCTTTCCAACTTGTTCATGTATATATTTGCCGAAATAGATGAGAGTCGAGATCCCATCAGTACTCCAAATATTTGCTCGTAGATATTGCCGTTAAATGTAAAATATGTGGCCCTTACTGCCTGGTTGATCAGTCGTGTTAACTATTTCTTCTGTATCCGTTCTGGCTCAAGGATATCCTCTTCTCGCTCCAATATCTCCATCAAGACGTTTACCGCCTTCTCAACTGAGATGATTGTGTACATGGATTATACATCGAAAATCACCAACAGTTCCGTCCCCACCAGCCAATTTTCTGAATCCGTTGAGAAATTTTATACGAATACTTAACGATATTCGAATCTGTCATTTAATTTCTTGAGCTTCAAGCTAATAAATTTCGCTTTGTGTATAGCTCCATGCTTGTTGTTGACTCTTAATCTTAGCGGATTCCTTCCTTGTGTATCTTCGGTAGTCCGTAGGATCTCTGGGGTATTGCGTCATTTTTATTCAAGATTTCATCATCCATCTGTCAATTTCGCTATCATTATGCATTTCCTTTAGCATATTCTTTAGTGTTCAGTTAATTCTCATTGTTGGATCCTGCCTTAGTATTTGTTCCGATCGCCTAGGATACTTTCCATTTTCTCCGTGTACTGATTCCTGTCCATTACAGCCGTCGCTCCTCCCTTATCCGTATACCAGTCAAGTATCGGTTTATGATGTGGCAGGATCCACAGGATTATTACCAGTTCCATCCCTCGCCTTGTATCTTCTAGATATTTATCCATTATGTTGACAACTTCCACCAAAATATCACTAAGAGCATTTCCTTCATTACCTAGTGGAAAATGTAACCCCTTCTTTAAGAGATCTGTAGTTTCAGAATAAAGATGGAGAAGATAGGTTTACTATCTTACTCCTATCGTCGTCTGTTAAGATTGATGCCTTTAATAGAGAACCATCAAAATTTGACCGAGTCTTGCGCTGTCTTATTATCCCATAGCTAAGCAATTTCTCATCCTCTTGCTTATTTATCAGATCCCGGATTCTCTGTGAATTGTGGACCGTCATGCTCTGGAGTTTTTAAAGAACATCCAAAGTGAGAAACCTACCGAGATCCTTCCTTAATTTAGACTTGATATCTATTAACTTAAATAGCTTACGCCTCTCAATTTCATGACATTCCTCTAATTATTGGATGTAGGTGTGATAAAGTTTTCATTACCTGTGCCCGAATGACATTTCCTCATTAGATTGCAGAATCAGGGAGCGATAAAATAGTTTGCAACAATTCAAAAAGGTCCGATGTCAGAATTGACTTACAATTGTCTTCTTTGTCTGACTGTAATCGGTGCATTATTTACCAATCATACTTCCATAGTTTAATCGAAGATAGGAAGACCAAGTTCGTGTGGCATTTTGTGTGGTCACAGTCTCCTTTCATTGTATAGAAGTTGTATGACCTTTTCACAATTTGTTCATATTGGTAGGAAGACATAGAGGAGCACACCTAGTCCGGAGTCCATTGTATGCATGCTCATTCCCAAAGTCTGACCGTGGACATGCTACATTCCTATACGTTTCGCCGGCATCGTCTTTAAGTCTTGCCATTCTTAGCACCGTACTACAACTAGTCAGAGACAAGTGAAGCCGATCCATTGACCAAATGTGTGTTAAACATTTGTGGCGATTTGTACGTGCTACTCAAGGCTTAAGAAATAGGGCCTGGAATTTATTGTACACTGGGACTTAAACTGAATGAAATAAGTCGGGTACATTAGGGAGATTCGAATATGAGGTCTGAGTCGAGGGAAAAAGGAGACAAGGTAAACAGTAGGTCTGATGACGCCACACCACTCGCCAAAAAAGAGAACAACTATAGACGAGTCGAATATAAGAAAATAAGAAGTTTAAATAAGTAGGGCAAGGGGTAATTAGATATGCCGGGACAGAAAGAGTCGTAATGGCATAACGGGTCCACATAAATTTGGTCAAAGGAATGAGTAAAGTTGTCTCTTTGACGAATCGTAGCTTAGTGTTGAGACTGAGAAGACTCGTTGACGAGGCCGGAGAGACATCTGGGAATGTACCAAGTCCATGGTCCAAGGCTGGGAAGTATTGTAACTAATATATCAGAGGATTTCGGATAAGGTGCGCTCAACTAGGTCGTCCTGACAACACGAATAAGGTGCAAAAAAGGTCAGACAACTTCTCTATACCGAAAAGAGACTGTGACCAAAACAGAGGTCATAACACCTTGGTGTTCATATCCTATATCAGTTTGCTTGCATAAATATTGCATAAAGATTGATACTCAAATCAAAATTGCAGCTAGACTGCAAAGATAATGAAGCAAATCAAAGATCTAATTTCTATATGACCTACCTATATTATCGAGACGCATAGAAGCAATATGTTCAGCTATCTGGCGTTGACGCCTTCGAACGATTCCAGTCCGTACATTAGACATTTCGCTTTCGCTTACAGACGAACCCAAGGAAGTTTCTGCAGATGAGAAGGATTCTGCAGTCGCCATAACCAATTGTTTCTCCGTTTTCGATCTCCCATAACCAGGCCATGATTTAAGCTCATCATTCTGACGTTGTGAATGCTGGTTTGCTGAATATGAAACATCAGACTGCAGGTCTGGTGTCAATATGGGCGCAAACTGAGCCGGTAAATCTTTAAAACGAGGCCGACGTGGTGACAGGGGTCCAGACTCAGAAGGAACTAGTTGCAGAGCAGATAAGAGAGGATGCAGTTGAAAAAAATATCGAAACTCAGAATAGATACGAGTAATAAAGGAGAGAAAATTATATAGTAGAGACAAAGATATGCAACTAAGCACATAAAGCTAAAAGCACAACCAACAACTATAGATGGATGTAGAGCGAGATATGAGAAAAATCAAATTCCACGATTTCCAAGCAATTAGACACATACAAAAATCCGTATATGACAAAGGTAGGGCAATCATTGATAATAGATATCGCATGTATTTGTAATTGTTTATCGACAACAGGAACACAAGGAAAAAATATATACCAAGAAAAAGAAGATATAAATAATTTTAGCTAAGCTGTAAGCTTAAATCGTAGGATAAGAGAATAAAGAAAATGTAATAACTAGATAATTGATATTAAAAAGGAATTATAAAAAACGTGGTAAAATGCGTAATTAAGGATATGATGAATTGATTATATTTACGTAGTGGCTAATATTCATTTCGAAAGAAAAGTTGGCTGCATATAATTTATGAACTGGCCCCATTGGATGGTTGACTTGAAGTGAAGATTCTTGGATTGTGCGGGCAAATACTAGGCTTGGCGTCTTGCAACCTAGATAAACGGTGACATGATGATTTCTTTACACAATCCAACAATTTTCACCTTAAAGAAATCCTCATTCGGTTTCCCGTTAGGCCAATTCATTTTTAGTGAATCCAAACTATCCACAATAAATATGCGATTGGCTTCGCTCTACTGTATAAAATCCCACAGCCTTAAATAGACAAAAAACGAGCCACGGAGTGCCCTGTATAAAAGAAGAAAGATTACATGCAAGGATCTCGATGTGGGAAAAGCTCAGACGATAGTGGAGTGTGGTGTTGGTGCAAGAGGGCACCGCTGGGCTACATAGGGGAACGATGGAATAAGGGAAGCGGCGGTGCAAAGGGTATCAGTCCAGGGGGTTTAAATACCATTGTGTACTTTTAATGCCGCATTTTGATTGGTTCAACTGAGATGCTTCATGCGGTGACTAGATTCGCCTTGTCCCTGTGGAAGAGTGTCGGTGAGTCATGTTCGGTTTGGTGTTGCAGAAGTAGACATAAGCGTAAGAGATAAAGCTGAATTGACTGTGGAGTAGAAGCCACTATACGCAAATTACGTTAAACCAACTTCCTCTTCGAAATGAAAAGTTGAGTAACATTGAGTTATTAAGGGAGTCTAAGGAGCTCAGCTTTTACTTATATTCACAGAACTACAAAATATGCAAAAAATAATATATTGGAAAGACGCATAGGAGAATTTAAGAGTCAATTACTGGTGCAAATAGACTAAAGAAGTGTATGTAGTGTAAATTTCATTTGAATCAGCATATAAGGGTACAACAGAACAAAACAAGATATAGACTAGAACAGTTTTAGTAGAACAAAAATATTTAAATCGACTAAGTTGCTAGTTTGAAGCATGCTAGAAGAAAAAGCTAAATTTTAGCTATTGAAAATAATGGATTAAACCTAAAAGAAATCCGA